AGGAGGACACAGAGCCCAGCCACAGAGTTGACAGAGTTCAGGGGCGCGGCCAAGAGGAGGACAAGAGGAGGACAAGGTTCAGCCACGGAGCCACACACGTACATAGATATACATATGCATGCAGGGACCTACACGTACATTTCAGACTTACCGGTAAGCGCTACCATTCTCACATGGCTGGTGTATACTGTGTTGTGATCTGCAAGAATGCAGCGGGAAGAGCCTTCTCCTTCTCTTGTTCCTTCTCCTCTCTCCTTTGTCTCCTTCTCTTTCTCCTTCTCCTCCTCCCTCCTTTCCTCCTTTTATTTTTTCTCCTTCTCCTTCTACTCTTCTGTTCCTTGCCTCCTGCCTTAGTTCTCATTCTTTTTCTCTTTGTGGCAACCCCTGGCCACAAACAGTGCGGAAAAAAAGAAACAAAACTCGTCGGAAAAAAACACGAAAAAAACAGTCACCCTTGGAAACCGAGAAATCTTGCAAACCAGATCAAACCTGTGACCACTCAGTGTGTCCATGGCTGTCTAATTGATCCAACATTTGATTACAGTACGGGATCTACGAATTACGCCGATTTACACCACAATGTTTTCCAGCAAATTTCACAACACGTTTGAAACTCAAGATGCAATTCCAATTTGGTTGCTTGCGCTGAATGCTCATCACAGACCCCTCTCTTTCAGGGAGTCGAGGGGGCAACACCAAGACAAATCAGAAAAACTGTTTGGTACTGTCGCCATCAGGCATCTTCAAGAGAAGTGGCACAACGTGCCACCAGGTCTGACATGGCGCTGCCGAGTAGCACCAAACAAACAAGGGAACGCCAAAGCACAATGGCAAAAGAACACCAAAGCAGCAGTAGCCAAAGGGCAAATTGTTTAGGATGCGGGTAGCACCAAACGTGAGGTTAAAGCGACAACCAACTTCGAGTCAGCAATGTGATTCCACAGTCCTCCTTGAAACGAGGGGCGTCCGGGTCTGGCCACTCCAACATTTTAAATAAGTGCTAGACCTGTCTAGTAACCCAACAGTTTCGACGTTGGCCAGGAGACAGTTCATTCTTGCAATTTCGACCGGAATTGAACACAAACATTGCTGATTCCATAAGGTCCAGTTGAGACTGTGTGTGTTCCTTCTCAAGTTTAAAGTGTTGAATGCAGGTTATTGTGGTCCACCAAATGTACTCTTGTGCTCTCAAAAAACAAAGTCCATAATTTTTATGGAACTACGACATAAATCACAACCACGTCATCAAACGTCTATGGTTCTGGTGGCTTCACTATCGTTCTTGCCTGCAACAGGGATGTTGACATTTTGGGGTCCTGTCACCTGTCATTCTTTCAATGTTGTGAACTTTTGTAGTCGCAACGTCCACGGGCGAGAAAGCATCAAGACCTCCTTCTTCCAGCAATCTCCAGCATACAGACAAACGTGTCAAAATCCCAACAAAGAGGTGTGCATGACCAGCACGCAAGCAAGAGAGAGGGCATGAAGGGCTGAGCAAATTGGAATCCAGGCAGGACTAATGACCAAGCGCTAAGCGCAGAGACAATGCAAGCAGTGGTGTGTAAAGACTCCAGGAACTCAGCAAGGAGATTTGATCACGACATATCAGAACAGACATTCAAAATTGTGTGTGTGTTGTTTTAAATATATTTATATATACATGAAACAATGAGATTCAATATGATTCAGTGCGGCACTGCCTGGAAGGCCTGGACCATCCTGGGCCTTTTAAAGCTTTGCAGCGCATACGGCACGGAATATGACGGTCAGAGCACTGAAGATCTGAAAGGAAACAGGAACCATCGGAAACACAGCACTGAAACCATAACTTCTGAAACCAACCTGGAGACCGATAAATCTTTTGAATGCTTTGCAAGAGCATCCGCAACTTCACACTCGACGAAGTGCCACGAAGCATACCAGCAAGCATACCCGCATACCCCGTATGCAAACATTCCGAAAGACAACCCATTTAAACGTGCTGACGCTGTGTACACAAATGCGATTTTGCGATTAACTACTGGTAGTAAGAACCAGTTATGTAATGGAAACATGGTTGAAACTGTACTTTACTTGCGAAGTTAAGATTTGCATCGCTGATGCGGACAAAGCAAAACCTCAGACTTTTCTGAAGATTGATTTGGCAGAATAATAATCATTCTTGCGGGGTTGGGTCGGAAGGCAATACGGCAATTGCTGCTGCATGTCGCATGATTTTATACATTGATAAGGAACATGCTGCACTACCTACTCCCCCAAAGCTCAAACTGTCCACCAAAGACTTCATCAAACGACCAGACAGTCTGTGTGAACAATGTCACATGACCGTACCAATGGCAGAATTGGATGGTGGGCATTTTCGTGGCCTTGGGTGTGCAGCTTCTTCTTGTGGTCATTGCCACAGTTGCATTTGCTAAACTTTGCTGAGCTCCTTGGTGTCGCAAATGCAAAGCATGCAAAGCACTATTTTGTTGCAAAAATCTGAATATTCAATGCAATGCAAAGCAGTTTTCATTAGCAGCAATCCCAGGAGAGTGGAGCAGCATGCTCAATATCGCGCAACCGTTGAGAATACATAATGCGCGTGATTCCGTGTGACACTGGCCAGATTTGGCCAGCAGGTGAGAGAGTTTGTGCATCAAACCTGCAGGGCAAAACAGCACGCGGTTGTTTTGCTGCACTGGACTCTGGACTTGCCTCTAGACTCTATGGCAAACTCTGCTTAGCAGCGGTACTGCTGGGGTTGTTCCAGAGACCTAAGATTGCCGGAGCTTGAAGCTGTTTTCTGTTGAGTTGCTTATCAGCAATGGGCCTTTGCCGAACTTGAAGAGCTGGAAGGAGCCTGTCAGCCTTTCCACTTGATATCGATGAAATCAGCAAATAACTTTGCTGCAGCACTGCCTAGCAACCATGCGTAACTCCATCAAAGACTGTGCTGATGAGACTGGGAGCAAAAGCTCTTGCAGCGTAGATCAGCCTAGAAGTTCAACAGTCAGCAGCACCAAAACCATGCAGGTGGTGTTCATGTGTGTTGAAATCAAAAAGAGCCATGTCCAACGCGGCCTTCGACTACTACCAGGACAGACACTTGGTCATCTCCGACAACACCACTAACCCCTTGCATTCATTGCCAAGTAGCGGAAAGTTGGAAGAGCTTGACATTCCTTATAGTCTCAACATGTCTCAACTATATTCTAGCTGACTCCTTATTGAACAAACACGAGCTCAGCCGATCAAAACAATCCGAAGGTGAGTAGCCAAGGTTCGCTTTGAGTACGGCTGCTGACACATTGGTTGACTTGTCTTTTGATTCTACTGTGTCTCCTAGCGGCAAGTGGACAATCACACTTCAGGGTTATGCAGGCTAGGTCTTTTTCCTTGCGCGAGGTCTTGGGAGTTTCTCTCGATGCCCCGGAAGCCGACATCAAAAAGGCTTCCATAGTCCATAGTCATCACCAGCAGGGAAGCATGCTTTGATGTTGTGCTTGAGCAGCCGAGGGCTTTCACCATATGTTTTTCTGATTCGGCAGGCTTATAGAAAGCTGGCCATCAAATACCACCCTGACAAGAACCCTGGTAACAAGGAGGCACCAAGGGATACAAAGGGAATGTCACACTTGCATGCCAGGGTGGGAGATCTCAATTTGAGCAAAAAACCTACTGGTGGATTCCTGGTCTCTGAACCAGCACGGTGTGAACACCGTAGGCACTTTTTGCACAAGCAAGAAAAGGGAGCGGTCCGTGTTTCCTTTCAAGGGTTATGAGCCCAAACTCGCACCTCATCGTGTGTTGGTGCTGAGTGGGCTTGCCATGGACAGGGCACGCTCACTGCCGCCTGGAGGCGGTATGGACCAAGGTGCGATCAATCCCTTTTGGTCGCAAAAGGTGCAGCAAGAGGCACTCCTCCGCCTGAAGCGACCGGAGGATCTTCCGATTCCACCAGATGATGATCTGGAGCTTGAAGCGGTGCAGGATGGCGCCACGTGGGCATTGGGCAAGGGCCGAGGTGCTTCGGTCGTGGGTGGGCGCATCGGCGCATGTATGTGACACCCCCAAGCCATAGAGATCCAGAAGGAAGAGGTCATGGTGGTCTACGGAAGACTGAAGGTTTGATGCCAGGGGAAGAAACCACTGCACCTTCCGGGGTTCGATCACAACCCCAAAGAACAATGGGACCTGTGCCAACCAAGCAGGTTTCCTCAGAGCCGGTACAGGCAAAAGCAAGTTCCTCGGCCGATAGAGAGGCTGGGAATGGCCTTCAGCGTGCATTGGAGGCAGAAATGGTCACCTTCCTGCGAGAGCAAAACGAGCAGCTGACTGAGGAACTGGCTCGACTTAAGAAGCAGATGACCAAGGTGTCAGCGGCGGTGACTGGCCCTACATCCACCCCATCTTCATGGGAGACCAGGAGCGGCAAATGGCAAAGCAGAGCTCGCGGAGTTGGCGGCAGATGCTTCTCCATTGGAGCTGGGCGATTGGCTGGCGGTCTGTGGCCCTGTCCTTCGGGACATCTCCCAAGTCAGTGCCAGGTGGTGGAATCTGACATTGAGGGAGGCCCAATGTTTCTATGAGAGGTGGAAGACATCATCACCTCTGGAGCGGGTGCAGATCAATCCACGGCTGCCGGATGAGCTCCTCGATGGGGGCTACCAGAGGACGGAGCAGAGGGGGGTGAATTTGCTCCTCAGGGCCATACCGGCCGACCAGCAGCAGGCGCTGATTTCGGCGCGTGAGTTGAACTCCACGGCATTGCTCTTCCGCCTGATGGTGCGGTACCAGCCTGGTGGCTCTGGAGAAAAGGCCATTTTGCTCTCAAAGTTGACGGCCTTGGACAAGAGCAGTACAGTCACGGAGCTTGCAGCTGCTTTGAGGTCGTGGCGACGTCATTTTGCAAGAGCTGGTGAGATCGACGCAGTGCTTCCTGATGGCACTTTGTTGCTTGCAGCCTTGGAGCCAGCTTGCACGATGATTGCAACTCAGGACTCCCAAGCGTCGTTTCGCCTGGCACAGAGCAGGTTGCAGTTGGGCATCGATCAACGTCCTCATCATCAAGGTGTTTGGCGGTTTAGCCAATGCTTGCTTGCGGAAGCAGAGACGCTTTCGCTGATGATCAATGCACCCATTGCCTCACCACAACCCTCCATCAAGGTCAAGCAGATGGAAGCTCCGGTCAAACCATCAGCGGTTTCAAATGGCCAAATTGAGAAGGGCAAGGGTGTGTCGACAGCGGCTCAGCCATGCAGATACTTCCGCTCCGACACTGGGCGCAAGGCGGGCAAGAATTGCAAGTGGTCGCATTCGTGGGACGGGGTGGAGGACAAGAATGCGAGGTGTTGGATCTGCGGGGGCAAAGACCATCGCAAGTCGGATTGCAAGTTGAAAAGCCAGCAATCCAAAGGCTCCAACAAGGACCACAAGTCCAGTGGTGAACCTGGGGCAGGTTCAGGGGGAGGAAAGGGCCAGACGGCTCACAATGTCAATGCTGGGGCGCCCAAATCAACTACTGGCGCAGGGGCTCCAAGTCCGGCAACTACCTATGCCACGCCCAAGCTGCAGGAGATGGACGCTGGTGAACAAGCATCGGCCGTGCCACAAAGTGAACCTGGAGGTGGAGCAGCAGCGAAGCAAGGTGGTGGTGGGGAGACAGGAGCTACGTCAAGTGAAGTGTTGCTTCAAGAGGCCACGAAGCTGTTGAAGTCGCTCAGAGCACCTCAGTTGCGGGTGATAAAGGTGAGCCAGCTGGACTATGACAACAGCTCCATGATGGTTCTTTTGGACTCAGGTGCAACCCATGCATTGCGGCCTGCGACTAGCGAGGAAGAGTGGGAAAGCGCAAACCCCACTCAAGTCTCCTTGGCTGACGGGACCACTAACAAGTTGAGGTTGAAGCCTGAATTCAAAGGTGCTCCTCTCGTCACCACAGGAGGATGAAGCAAAGCAATCCTGGATAGTTCCTATGGGTGGCATCACAGAGATGGGCTACAGGTTTGGTTGGAAGGGAGCACGATGCTGGCTTTGCGATGAACAAGGCAAGGAGGTCGATGTGACCATCAACCAAAACTGCCCCATGGTCTCAAAGGAGGTGGGACGAGAGCTCATCAACAAGTTGGAGATTCGGCAACTGAAAGTCGCCATGAAGACCATGCTGGTGAATGCACTGTTGGCAGACCCAAAGTCCATGGGAGTGGCCGACGTGAAGAACGATATTGAGCTGGCTTTGACGGTGAAGTTGAAAGCATTGTTTCCAGCTCTCCCTGATGAGATCTTGATGAGGGTGATTCCAGAGATGACCTGTGTGCAGGACGGCATTGACGGAAGCCGCTTGCCCTGGAATCGAAGAAAACGGCGCAACATTGCCAATGCTAAGCAGGTGGTCGTGCACCTCTTTTCAGGTCCTGACCAACGTTTTTGGGAGAAGAAGCTGTCCGGCAATGGAGTGGAGGTGCTTTGCGTGGACCTCAATGCTCAGGTACCGGCTGATCTCCATGACGACAACGTCTTCCGGTACCTCCTGATGCTGGCGGCTTCGGGTCGAGTCAAGGCCCTGTTGGGCGGTCCGCCCTGTCGCACGGTGTCAGCTTTGCGATACCAAAATGATGGTGGTCCGGCATTCCTTCGGTCAGAAGAACACCCCTATGGCCTTCCGACGCTGACGGAAGCAGAGCAGGAGTTGGTGGTGGGCGACAGTGTGTTGTTCTTTCGCATGCTGGCCATGTACATGGTATGTGAGGATGTGCGCTTCTCCGATGAGCCCCAGACAGGACTCGCCATCGAACAGCCAGAGGACCCTGCTCATTACAGACCTCATGCTGAAGTTGAAGAAAAGAAATTCATGTCGATCTGGCGCACTCGTGAATGGCAGGACTTTGCCACGAAGTACCAGATCAAGATGCTCCACTTCGACCAGGGTCCGATGGGCCACACCAAGCGCAAGCCGACGACATTGGCAGTTGTGCTCAGGGACATCCAGGTGTTGAATGAAGTCCGTGGACTACCAAGTGGAGTTCACCCTGACGGTCAAGTCCCTGATCGAAATGACATGACCCTGCAAGAACGGTTCGAAGATTCAAGGTCCTGGTCTGCATGGGCCCTGGTTTGAAAGTTGCTTTGGTGTTGGCCATCCAGGATCGTTTGCATCGTGGTACAACCCCTTCGCTGGAAGCTGCTCTTCGTCCGTTGGGTCAGGTGGCTTTAGAGTCGTGGCGAGCTCACTATCTCAACGACCACATGCCGGCCCGGAGAGATTGCAAGCATTGCGTCAAGGCATCAGCAAGAGGGTAAGCCATCCAGAGGCCTATACCCTGAGCGTTGACCTTTCAGGAAAGATGGTGGCTGGTCATGATCAAAGTCGCCATGAATGCAGGTACATGATGGTGGCAGTGTACACCTTTCCCGTGGACAAGGCTGGAAATCCTTTGGCTGAGCTTCCCAACAGCCGTCCACTTGATGTGCCCGAAACCGCCGATCCGAGTTCCTTCAACGTGGACGCCGATGAGTACACGCCCTCAGAGCCACCAGATGATCCCGGCGATGTCGTGATGTTGGAGGCAGAGGAGACACGGGGTCTGGGGGAGGAGATGACGGAGATGGCGGAGGCGGCGGAGGATGGGTGTGCTGGCGGTGTGACGGAGGTGGGGATTCGTAAGGGCCAAGAAGAGTACGAGACATGGCACAAAGCGGTGGAGGAGGAGCAAGAAGTCAAGGTTCGCAACTTGACCTTTGGGGCAGTCACACACATCCTTCCAGCTCTGGCAAGAATCTATGCCCGACTCAGGAGCCTTGGACTCCCTGTGTACCGCATTCACTGCGATCGTGCACGAGAGCTGATTTCAGCGCCGGTGAGGCGGTGGACTT